GGCCTAGTAGGCATCTGCTTCCCTCCCTCACCCTTTGCCCCCACCTTACCTCTTCCCCCGCATGCCTGTGCTCGCTCTCTCTAAAATCTTTGAAAAAAGAAAAAAAAAATTCTTGGGAAGGGGGACACAGTGCAAGGAATATTATAAAACCTACTGTAGTTGATACTTGAGCAATGTGGAGGTTAATGACACTGACCCTCCATGAAGTCAAAAATCCCAGTAGAACTCTTGACTCCCCCAAAACTTAATTACTAATAACCTACTCTTGACTGGAAGTCTTGCCAATAACATACAAAATACATGTTAATTGACTGTTTGTTATGTGTAATATACACTGTATTCCTACAATAAATTAAGAGAAAAGTAAATGTTATGGAAATCGTAAGGAAAAGAAAATATATTGATAGCACTGTAAAAAAAAATCCATACATGAGCCCATGCAGTTCAGTCTGTGTGTTGTTCAAGGGTCAACTGTATACGGTCTCAGCTAAAACTAAAAGAAAGGAAAAAGGGAAGATATGAAAGTATTATGGGTTAAATTAATGCCCACCCCCTCCCAATTCACATAATGAAGTCCTAACCCCCAGTTGAGAATAAATGTTACCTTATTTGGAAATTGGGTTGTTGCAGGTGTAAGTGGTTAAGATGAGGTCATACTGGAGTAGGGTGGATCCCAATCCAATATGACTGACATCCTTGATGTCAGTGGAGACACAGGAAGAATGCCATTTGAAGATGAAGGCAGAAATGGGTGGGACTTCTACACATTAAGGATAGCCATAATTTGCTAGGAAACTCCAGAAGCCAGGGGAGAAGCATTGAACAGATTTGTTTCCCCACAGCCCTCAAAGGAACCAACTCAGCCAACACTTCGATCTTGGATTTGTAGCCTCCAGAATGGTGAGACTACAAATTTCTGTTGTTCAAGCTGCTCAGTTTTGGTACTTGGTTACAGCAGCCCTAGCAAGTAATATAGAGAGTGTTCCTGAGGTCCTTAATAGTAGAAAATGTAGGACAAAGGAGGAAAAGCAGCAGAAAGTGGAAGGTCTCCTCCTACTATAGGGAAGAAATAGTACCACCTTATTGCGGGAAACAAGATTACCTTGGTGCTTGAGCTTTCTATTTTTGTGTAATAGATTACCACAAATTTAATGTTTTAAAATTCCACAATTTTAAATCTACTACCCTTAGATTCTAGCCACGTGACCCTCTCACAACATGGCAGTTTACTTCTCAGCCAGCGGGAACAGCCTCTGCAGTCTGCTCTTACCGTCTCCTATCACGTAAGCTAATCAAGGGAGTGGCTGCTACATCATACTCTCAGGTCCTGACTGTACTCAAGGGCAGGAGGTCCTGCAAGGTATAGATAACAAGGAGCAGAAATCTTGAGGGCCTTAGAATTCTGCATGCCACACTGTTTAGGAGAAATAATGGTCTATTGTTTTCAAATAAGGGTAAAGTCCTATTGATCTAATCATGCAAAGCGGGGGTATGGGGAGGAGGAAGATAACCACTAAATGAATAAAAATCTACATTAAATGTTTAACTTAATAAGGGAATATTGAATCACAGGAGGAAAAATAAGAATTAGGAAACAAAACATTAGGAGAAATAAAACAAGACTGATCAATCCTGATATTAAATGTGCTGGGATTAAATTTCCCTTTTGAAAAATAAAGACTGTTAGATTGATACAAAAAGCAAAGTTCATCTATATGTTATTTTTAGGAGCACACTTAAACTGATGAGAAATTTCCTCTTCTGGAAATGGCAGACAGGTAACTCAGAGAAGCCTTCCTCCTGAAGACAACTGAGAAGTCAGAGCAAAATATAAAAGCCACCTCCCTAAAAACAGCAGAGAGCTAACAAGGTGATGAGGTAATGTCAGATTAACATCCAGAAGACACAAATCCAGGGGGGACGAGATTTAAGCGCTTGTAGTGCATTGATTGCCCTCTTCACAACAGGCTATAAGGATGCTGGAACGCTGCGGATTTGCCCCATTTTGAGACCAGTGGAATAAAACAGAGCCCAGACCTTACAAAAGATGACACCCATAAAAACTTGCTACTTTTGGGGTTGGCACCATTAAGAGCAGTACCCAGGAGACAGAATAAGCCAAAAGTAACCATTTTTCTCCTGGACTGAGGCTCAAGTGTAAGTCCTCTGTGTGGCCCAGAAAATGTTAAATCTGGAAATTGGACTAAAATGATTCGAGGTTACTGATCTCCTCAGGAGCATAGCAGAAACAAATTCACTCTAGAGAAATGTTCTAAAATTGATTATCTTAATGGTTATATAACTGTAAATATTATAAAAATCATTAAATTGTATTCTTCAAATGAGTAAATGGTATGGTAGGTGAATTATATCTCAGTAAAGCTCTGATTTAAAAAGAAAATTCCACCCTGGAGGATGATAATAGTATCTTAGACCTCAAATTGTTTTATAAATAATTTTTCAAAAAAATACTTCCTTTTTAAAAAATGACTAGGCACATGAAAAACACACGACCATGAATAAGAACCAGCACAAATAACAGGTAACAAGAAAGAGATTCATGGGTGCTCCTGAGAGTGAATTATTAGGCACGGTAATGCTAATGCACACATGGGGATAAACCCAAACTAAAATTTCAGTGAGAAACTAAGACATTGCATATTTGGTGTTACAAAAAAAAAAAAAAAAGATTCAAATACTGACTTCATCTTCCTGCTAATGGCAGAGTACCTTTTACCAAGTCAAAGACTACTATAAACTCTGGGAAAACTTTAAAGACAATGACCCAAAAAGATTGGAGAATAACCAAAAGTGAGCAGAAACTAGAGTGGCATCTACAAATGGGAGAAGGGAGCCACACTGAGTGAGGTCCTATTTTATACTCTTCCCCTGCGGGCAGGTCCCGTCAGCATCAGTCAGGGCAGGGCTGCTGAAGCTTGGTGGGACCCTACATTCTGGACTTCGGATTTCACCCAAGATGGGAATCACAAACCTGATTTATCTGCCCTCTTGGAACAACAACAACAGAGAAGATACATAAAAATGGATTTCAAGGGGCGCCTGGGTGGCTCAGTGGGTTAGGGCCTCTGCCTTCGGCTCGGGTCATGATCTCAGGGTCCTGAGATCGGGCCCCACATCGGGCTCTCCGCTCAGCAGGAAGCCTGCTTCCTCCTTTCTCTGCCTGCCTCTCTGCCTACTTGTGGTCTCTCTCTATCAGGTGAATGAATAAAATCTTTAAAAAAAAAAAAAAAAAGGATTTCAAGACACTGACCATCGGGCAGTGAAGGACCATGAGCCTGAGAGATGTAAATAAAGAAGGGAAACCTCAGCTTATGACTTGAGAGAGTTTTCTAGTCCACAGCCTAGAGCTGGGAAGCCAGGCGGAACTTGTCGCACTCCATGAGTCGAAGACCACATAAGATTAAGAAGAGTATAAAGGGCGCCTGGGTGGCCCAGTGGGTTGGGGCCTCTGCCTTCAGCTCAGGTCATGGTCTCAGGGTCCTGGGATGGAGCCCTGCATCAGGCTCTCTGCTCAGCAGGGAGCCTGCTTCCTCCTCTCTCTGTGCCTGCCTCTCTGCCTACTTGTGATCTCTATCTGTCAAAAAAATTAAAAAAATCTTTAAAAAAGAAGAAGAAGAAGAGTATTAAAGTGTAACTTCCAGGGGAAGGAAAAGTCATGTTTAAAGCACTTTTTAGTTAGAAATGTAAATATTTTTGCATTTGCGTAAAATTATATGTATGACTCTATGTACAAGTAAAAAGTAGCCTTCTTATAGGCTTTGTTTTATCCAGTCTCTCCTAGGTTTGTAAACTCTCACCCTCACTCACTAATATTAATCTTTATGACATAACGGCTGTAACGAAAGAAGCAGGAAAGGTTTCTGACGCTTGCATTTCTAAAAATGGCTCTCTTTTCTGGTATGCCATTATATGTGATTACTAGGTAGGTATCTCTGATTGAACCAGGCTTATCATTAATTATAATGTAATTAACATTAAATATTATAAATACATTTTAGGCCAAGGAAAAGAGATTCTAATCAAAAGATCATAAAGTGCTATAAATAAGGGGAAAGCAGTTATCTGGGAAAAAGGGATGGCAACATCAGGCCAGATTATTTTGCCTTTATATGTTCCCACTCTCGCAAGTTCAGTTTGTTTTCCTGTGCCACCGTCCGCTAGATTCTGTGACACTGTCTGTCTGTGATAGAGAAGCCCAGACAAAAGGCTTAGACATGAGTAAGATCCTGGGCATACAGAGTATAGAATTCATTGGGGGGTGCCTGGGTGGCTCATTCCGTTAAGTGTCTGACTCTTGGCTTCGGCTCAGGTCATGTCATGATCTTAGGGTCCCACGCTCAGTGGGGAGTCTACTTGAGGATTCTCTTCCTCCCCTTCTCCCCCTACTTGCTCCTGAAATCTTTAATTTTTTTTAGTTTGTTTGTTTTTGATAAGAGAGACACAGCGAGAGAGGGAACACAAGCAGGGCAAGTGAGAGAGGGAGAAGCAGGCTTCCTGCTGAGCAGGGAGTCCGATGTGGGGCTCAATCTCAGGACCCTGGGATCATGACTTGAGCCGAAGGCAAACGCTTAACAACTGAGCCACCCAGGCACCCCTGAAATAAATCTTTTTTTTTTTTTTTAAGATTTTATTTATTTGACACAGAGAGAGAGATCACAAGTAGGCAGAGAGGCAGGCAGAGAGAGAGAGGGAAGCAGGCTCCCTGCTGAGCAGAGAGCCCGATGATCCCAGGACCCTGAGATCATGACCCGGGCCAAAGTCAGAGGCTTTAACCCACTGAGCCACCCAGGCACCACCCCCCCGAAATAAATCTTTAAAAAAATTTCATTTGGCCTGCATTGGAGATAGTAGTTAAGAATATGTCTGAGATAAGGCTTTTTTCTGTTTTTCTCCCCCACCCCCCAACCCTAGCAGTACTGGATAAGTATGTGTTTGAGTTGAGTATGTTTGAACGTAACTGTTACTTTCTGGGTTTGCAGCCAGTGAGAATCAGCCAGAGAAGCCACACTTTGATTCTCGCAGCGTGATATTTGAGCTGGATCCTTGCAATGGGAATGGGAAGGTTTGCCTTGTCTACAAAAGAGGGAAACCAGGTAAGAATCATTGACAGGCATGGCCCTGCAGCTGGGTGTGGCAGGATGATCCTCCTCTCCAGTCATGACACAAAAGGCACATTCCACTCTGGACCCATGAGATGCGGCCAGGTCTCTTGGAGATGTAAAGACCCAGTAAGCCTCTTTGGTCCTCCCTGAGCATTCCCTTCTAGGCCAATCACTAGAGTCTTTTTTTAAGCTGTCATTTGTGAGTTACTGCAGAAAAAAATAGGAAAAGGAAAATAAGTGAGTAAAAACTAAAAGAAATAGTCATTCTGTTTCTATAAACAGGCTCTATATAACATTCCTCTATAAACATTCCTCCAACGGGTTCACACATCAGAAAAGCATCCCGGAAAAGCATTATCTTTCTTACACACTTCTCTATGTAGGCAAGTTAACAACACTAAAAACCTGAATGAGTAGACATCAGTCTTAAGACCTCAGATGAGAACTCAAGAGGAAAAGGCTCTGGCCCCAGAGCAACAGCTGGCCCCCCCAGCAACTATTCAGGCCCTGCCCTAGGACTGTGGACAAGGCCCAGCCCTCTCCAGGTAGCTCTCAGCCTGTACGGGTGAGAAGATAGAGACGCCAGGATTTTAACCCTAGAGAAAGGAGGGACCAACTTTGCAAAGTAGCCTTTCATCCACATCTTGGGTTGTGGAGAAGGGTGGGGCAGGAGGGATTGTGGGGTAAGGGCAGCATGCAGGCAAAGAGACTAGGTAAAGCTCTGCCATGGGAAAGTGCAGCTGATTTGGAAGGAATGATAATTTCAAATCATAGGACTGCCTGGTTCATCTTGTGGATAAGGAGATGGAGCCAGAAGTCCAGTTGTTCCCCTTCATGCACAGCTTGGAAGGAGTTCGGACATGGCACTGGGAAGTCCAGTAAAGGAACAGCCAAATTAAGATGGAAATGTACATTTGCACAGGCAGTCTTAGAAGAAGAGACTGGAGGGTGGGGGCCACCGAGGAAGCCATCGTAGCCATTAGACAAGAGACGAACTAGAGGCCTGCAGGAGGAAGAATGGAAGGTCAGAAGTGAGTGTGAGGCTGGCGCTGCTGGGACCGTGCCTGTTTCCACTGAACCCGGACCTCCCGCAACAGCACAGGCAGGACCCAGAGCAGGAGCTGGTCTGGACTCCAACACAGTGGCTGCTCACGGCCCTTCAGCTTCCTGACAGAGATCTCCTCAGAAAACCGGAGCCTTGGGGTGCCTGGTGCCTCATCGCTTAAGTGGCTGCCTTTGGCTCCGGTCATGATCCCAGTGTCCTGGGATGGAGCCCTACATTGGGCTCCCTGCTCAGTGGGGAGTCTGCTTCTCCCACTTCCCCTGCTTGTGCTCTCTAGCTCTTGGTCTCTCTGTCTCTCAAATAAATGAATAAAATCTTAAAAAAAAAAAAAGAAAAAGAAAAGAAAAGAAATCAGGCTGAGTCTGTCCCATCAGGAAAACTGAGATCCACAGTCTGTGCCCAGTGGGGCGGGGGGGCTGCTGAATGGTCAGCCTGAATGCACAGATGGCCAATGCCCAGCACAGAAGTCAGTCAGCTGACTGATCAGGTATTTGTACAAGAAGACCAATAAAACCCCTAACAGTGGCCATGGGAGAATGGGCCTAAGGAACTCTTCACTTGTATTTTTCATCCTTCCACTACTAGAATTTTTTTTTTAATTTTTTTTTTTAAATAAACATATAATGTATTTTTATCCCCAAGGGCACAGGTCTGTGAATCACCAGGTTTACACATTTCACAGCACTCATCATAGCACACACCCTCCCCAATGTCCATATCCCCACCACCCTCTCCGGTCCGAATTTTTTTTTTAAAACCATGAGAGTATATTGGCTTTACAGATAAAAGTAGAAAAGTCTTATGCCATCCGTTCATTTCTTTCTTTTGTTTGCTATTTCAGCATTAGCACAAGACACTGAGATCTGGTTCCTGGACAGAGCATTATACTGGCATTTTCTCACAGACACCTTCACCGCTTACTATCGCCTGCTCATCACGCACCTGGGCCTGCCGCAGTGGCAGTACGCCTTCACCAGCTATGGCATTAGCCCGCAGGCCAAGGTAAGGGAGAGACACGAGCCATCTCCTATCTGTGGACCATATCAGAATCTCTGAGGAAATGCTTAAATGCAGATTCCCAGCTTCCCTGTCTGATTCAGAAGACTTGAGATGGAGCCCAGGAACCTGCATTTTCATTAAGCAAGGCAGATGGTGCCAGTGAAGGTGGATGGCCTGACTTAGTACTGAACTAAGTGGTTCCCAAACTTGGCTGATCCTCATAATCACCTGGGAGTTTTCTAATTAAATTTTAGTGGGGGCTTAGGTCTGAGCGTTGGTTTTAGATAGGCAGGACATGCACCCAGGAAGGGTGAAAAGTCAGTCTTATTCCCAGGCTCTCCAGCCTCCCAGCCTCCCCCAGAGGCAGCCGTTGTTTCCGTTTTTCTTGTGTTTTTCACACAGTACTTTTGCCTAGAAAGCATATAGGCATATGGTTTTCGGTTCCTTTTTTCTAAATCACAAGTGCACTATACTTCTCACGTCATTGTGCACCTTCTTTTCACTTAACAGCCCGTCTTGGGGTTCATTCCCTACCAGTACCTGCAGAACTGTCCTTTTTAGTAATACGGAATATGCGTTGTATGGATGTGCCTTGTTTGCATAATAGATCCGGGCGACATTTCAAGCATGGTTGCCTGGTAATGCTCATATACCGCCTAGTTTGAGACCAGGTGTGCCCTGAAGAACTTTGGCTGGGTGGCAGTGACTCAGGGGCTCAGCACCAGGCATGTATTCATCTGCTGGGCCTTACTTTGCCCAAATGTCACCTAACATCCATCCAGTCAACATGGTGAGGTCAATAAATGTGATGCTCTTTGCCCAGAAGGGAAAGAGAGCACCAGCACACGCAGCTTCCCACAGCCAGGGCCTGCCACTGGCCTCTGTCATGCACCTTCCCTGGGGGGAAGTGCTGCCATATCCACCTGACGGGCAGTAGCTGGTGTGAGGACAGAACAATTAGAAGGACGCTGATGCTCTGGGTCCCACATCCCCATGCTCAGGGCTCACTAGATCAGAAGGAAGTTTACTCACATTCTCAGTCCTTGTGCTAGATTTATTTTAAAGGTTACGAGACTTAATAAAGCAATGTGTGTGCCATCACTTTTACCTAAAGGAAGTCCTAACAGATTTTCAAGGCTTTTTTCATAAAAATGTTTGTTCTCTTTGCCTTATCTCCCCACCTCTCTACCTCTGGGTCCCCACTAAAGAACATAAACAGTCACCTTTCTCCTTCGAATTTTGACCTCTCCCAATTCTCCCTTACAGCAGTGGTTCAACATGTATAAACCCATCACCTACAATACAGACCTACTTGCAGAAGAGACCAACTCCTTCGTGAACAAGCTGGATCCCAGCAAAGTGTTCAAGAGCAAGAACAAGACCTTAATCCCCAAAAAGAAAGGGCCAGTCCAGCCTGCAGGTGGCCAGAAAGGGCCCCCAGGTCCTCCCTCCACCTCTAAATCCTCTTCTAGCCCTGGAAACCCTGTCCGGAAATGAGCACCCCACCTCCCCGCGAGCCCCTCAACATGATTTCCGTGCACAGATGGCCCAAGCCTCAGATTCTATGAGTTGTACCATAGCCCTCTTCCCATCACAGTGAGCCAAATCCTAGGCCTTCTGCTTCCATTGGTATTAGCCAGGAGTTCAAGGGCATTCTCAGGTCTCCCCCAGAGTCCTTGCCTCATCTCTTGCCTCTGAGAGAGAGTTTCCGAACGTAAGTGTTAAATAGAGCTGTGAAGAGCTTCCCTCTCTTTCCACCCCCAACCCTCTACACTTGTCAGTGGTGGTGAGAGAAATCCCCTGAGAAACCACTGATTTTGACCCATGAGGCATTAGAACTGTGCTGTTCAGTTGGTAATCACTAGTCACAGTGGCTGTTTAAACTATATTAAGAATTCAGTTCCTCAGTTGCATTAGCCACATGGTGCGCATCCATGTGGCCAGTAGCTTCTGTAGTCAACAGAGATAATGGAACATTTCCGTCATCACAGAAAGTTCTGTTGAGCAGCACTGTATTAGAATATTTTCATGCTGCCTTACTCAGATCAGTTCATTTTTGTTAGAAAATGTGGATATCTTGATTTGATGGGTCATAATGTTCCATGAAAATTCTTGAAGATACAGTTGTATATATTCTTTTTATTTTTCTTAATTCTGGTCTTTTTTAGCTTCCTATAAAAGTTTGTCATTTCCAGTTTTGCAGTGTGTTTATACATTGCCAAATTTTTTTTTTTTTAAGAGGAGGTAATTCCCTGCTTAACCTTAATATAAAAACAAAAACAAATTCCCAAGCATTGTTTTCCATGACTCCTCATAAAGAGTTTTTATGAAATCACTGTTGACAAGAGTTGTCCACCCGCCCTGCCTACTATCCCCAGCTTTCATCAATTCACGGAGTGGCAGAAAGGGAAAAAAAAGGACCAAGCTGTCAAGGATAATAGCTGAAGTTTAGTCTGTTAGAAGAATTGTTTTGCCAGAACCGATCAAATCAAAGGGAGAACCAACCGCACAAGATCAGTGATTTCAGCATGTGGCAGCTGCTCCAAGACAAGTCAGAGTTAGAAGAACATAGAGCAGGCATGTCCTCCTGTCCTATAGCCAGCCAGCCTCTAGTGCTGGTGGCTCCCTTGAGTTACTTTGAACTCAGCCCTGGCCCTTTTCTAGTTCTCACAGGTGCAGCAGCAGAGGAACTAGGAGAGCAGTGGTGCCCTTCACATCAGTGGGAGTCCTCAGGAGGCTATAGAAGAGAGAAGGAAGGGGGCTCCATGAAGGAAAGGAGAGCAGTGAAGAGCCATGCTGGCTACCTGAGGTGCAGGACCCAGAGCGAAACAAAGATGTGGGGCCTCATGTCCAAAAAATAGGAAAATAGTACCATTAAAAGTACTGAAATGTTCTTCCATGGTCTCTCTCACATCTTGTTATGCGGGGTTTTTACTTGCTACTTAATGCTGTCCTAAGTAATGAAAAAATTTAAATTCTAAATTATTAGCATTAATTTTATTCATCTTTATAGTACACAATTCCTGTTTTAAATGCAACTAGAAGAGCAGTGAACTCATGCAGAATCACCAAAATTAATTTGTATTTCATAGCTTATGTATACATGTTGTATGATATACATACTTTGTCCTCACTAGAACACTGGAAACACTACAGAAAAGCCTCGCTCAACTATTATTTCCCTCCTTGATATGTACACATTCTATCAACACTCTTTCACCTTACTGATGAGTAAGGAAGGACTAAAAGAAAAAGTAGGAGCTGCCGTATGTTTTCTTTTTCTCCTAAGTCATCATTTTCAGCAGACGTGGATGGCTAACGAAGGAAAATGACAGGAGTAAAATAAGAAAAGTAACAAGAGTAGAAAAAGGATATGATGGGGTTCCAGGGTCATTCACACTTCTTAGAATGCCATTACTTCCTTTTGCATTCAAATCAAGTCCGGTTCCAATGGAAAGCATGGCCTCTTGGGGCTCTCAGTGCCCCCACTTACTCAGTTGTAGGAATAACTTGCTTATATTGAATCTCTTCTCAACCTGCACATGGTGGGTCTGCTGGAATTCTGTGCACACCGGCGTCACAAAGGCTCCAAGTGAATGGAGTGGTGGGGAGCAGGGGACACCCTGCAGGGATCACCTCTGCTCCTGTGTATGTGGCTTTGTCTCATCAGACTTCACTTACAAAACACAAGTTCAAAGACAAGATTAAGAACTCCAGACAGTGACAGGAGAGCATTCAACCACGTGTGAGGCCCAGTGGGTGTGGGGCATCATGTGTGCCCATCACGTGCCTGTGAAGCCGCCCCTGTGAAGGAAGAAGGGAGCTCTCCTGAGGAAAGGCGCAGACAGCCCGTAAGCTCGGTGTGCTAGCTGGGGAGAAAACTCACCCATGAGAGTTGTGTCTCCAAACCAAAGCAACTGACATGGCAGGAGGCTCTACCGTAAATCAGCTGCCCAGAAAGAGATACTCTGCTGGAATCACAAAATGAGAATCAATGGCAGGATGCCTCACGATGCACTGGCATAATTAAGATTGTGTGCGAAGTGCCACATCCTCGTGCTGCATGGGTCCTACAGCCAGGAAGTGCCCCAGCCAAGGACAGGACGACGGGGGGCTACCTGCACATAATAATCCATAGAATCTCTCCCTCCCCAAACCTGAACATGCATCCATGTCACTGGACTTGTGTGTAGAAAATCAGATACTCCTGTCCCACTCCAGACCCACTCATCAAAACTGCAAGGAAATACCAGGACTCTTCATCAACTGCACTTGTGACAAGAATGCTGACCGAGCCCGAAGCTTTCCACCTAATGGGTCTGAGGGGTTGTGCTTGCACTGCATGGACAAGAGCTCAAAAGCTGTTTTTCATCTAGAAAAGCACGGACAATGATTAGATCAGAAGGACCAAGGGGCCCTGTGTGAACACATGTATTTTTTAAACCTTTTATTATGGAGAATTTTAAATATTTACAAAGATAAGTAGAATAACGAACCCATGTATGTATGCATCACCCAGTTTCAGCAATTCTTGTGACCAAGCATTTCTATGTATCTGGTCTTTGCCCTTCCAATTTTAATTTTTAAATAATTCCATTTTAATTCACCTGTTGGTTTTTAAGTTACAGTTCTTTGCATTACATTTTTAACAGCTGCTCTAAGGATTGCAATATATATAATATATATTCTGTTTTCTGTTCAATGCAGTACCCACTCAGACACAGCATCCCTAAGTGGCCATGCTTGTGTAGTAGAACTCTGGCCCCCTGACTGCAGGTCACCAGCAGTAGGTGGGTACCCGTTTATACTGACTACCCTTTAATCCTGGGGGTCTTGCGGTGAGTTTTCTTCTTTGGTTTAAGCCAACCCAGACTGGACTGTTTCTCTAGCTGAATATGCCCTGGTTAGTACACAGCCTCCATTACGGAGCTGTTATGAGGATTAAATCAGCGCATAGGTGAGCAATCAAATTAGTCCCTTCTTTTTCCCTTCCTCCTCTATAATGTGACTCTAACCTTCGTTAGACATAGTTTTGTAGACAAGGTGTTCATTTCTTGGAGTAAACATAGGCCAAAGCAGTTTATATACAAATTTCACTCCTTCCCCAAAAAAAGTATGTAAAATGAATAAAACAGTAACAGAGTATATACAAAGGTGTATTCTCTCATACCTGCGCTATCCAGTACTCCGGCGACTGACCACTGTAGCCATCTGAACTTAAAATCTAAAACTCTATTCCTCAGTCTCTCTGGCAGCATGTCAAGTGTTCGGTGACCACGTGAGTTTCGGGGCTGCCCTACAGAATGGTGCATATATAGAACATTTCTGTCACCACGGAAAGTTCTACAGGGCCGCCCTGACCCAGACCGCACGGGACTTGTCTTCACCTCACAATGCTCAGAGTAATTCTGCTGCGAAGCCCTTTTATACTCCTACTGTACTCAAGAAAACCTGAAGACACTCTTTTTCTAAGTAAGACACTGCATCCTGGGGCGCCTGGGTGGCTCAGTGGGTTAAAGCCTCTGCCTTCGGCTCAGGTCATGATCTCAGGGTCCTGGGATCAAGCCCCGCATCGGGCTCTCTGCTCAGCAGAGAGCCTGCTTCCTCCTCTCTCTCTGCCTGCCTCTCTGCCTACTTGTGATCTCTGTCAAATAAATAAATAATACCTTTAAAAAAAAACCAAAAACACTGCATCCTTTCCTACTTTATATATTCTTTTTATACCTCTTGGCTCACAGGGAAAGTCAGGGAGGAGGCAGCATGTCCCTGCACTGTGGAAAGGCCCAGCGGGCTGTGCAGGTTCTGGGCTTTGCCCCGTGTGGCAGTCAAAGGCTATGAGGCAGCTCAGCCTCTTGGCCTCTGCTGTGTCCAGCGTGGAAAGCAGACAGAAAGAAAAGAACAATTTTCTGCCTCTTTGAGCACCTTCTCTCCTCTGCCCTTAAAGGAACAGGTGAGCCTGGCTTTGAGAACACCCTCCTGAGCTCAGAAATAAGAACATTTCTCAAAGTACCTACCATTCCTCTGGAGATAGGTTACCTTTTCCCACAGCATCAAGACTGACAAAGAATACCTTGGAGACCAACCAGAGCAGGGACACAAATAGTCCTCAGAATGGTTCAAGTCCAGCTAAGGGAAAGACCTTGTCCTTCAAGCAAAAGCTGCAAATAAAGACCAACTAATTAAGGGCAAGATTAAACCTCTGGAAAAACCGCTTACCTTTACCACGGCTCCAGTTCCCAACTGTCCACTTTTAAACTTTATCTGTAAATAAGGTCATCCCTTGGGGGACAGGTGAAGGCAGATTTCTCTTGAGGGTACATTTACATGTGTGGAGGCTCCTGAGGCTCATCTTCCACGGGTGGCTCTAGACTATGGCCACACACAGGTTCTGAAACAGAGTGTTAGGATTCCAGAACATAGGCTTATTAAGGAACTTCAATTAAAAAAAAAACTTTTTTCTTTAAAAATGTGATTCTAAAATGGACTGCTGTGGCCTTAATTACTACTAACTCTACAAATCATGTTTTAGACCATTTTTTAAAAAATGGGAAATCACCTTCAATATTATCCATTAAAAACAGGAAGAATTCAGTCAAGCACAAGCAAATTCAGAAATTCATCTTCTATCATTTTTCCATAAATACACCCTTAAAAATTTAACCCAAGGGTGAACTTCTATATACATATGTTGATTGAAGAAGTTGTCAAGTTCCACAACCTTTACAATTTCAGGGCAGTTTTTCCTCCAATGAAATTCAAATTATTTTTTTCCTACCACCTGCTGAGAGAGGATGCTGGATTAGAACGCTTTTTTTTTTTTTTCATTGAGACTGCATTTCTAAGGTTGGGTTAAGGCAGGAATCAACTCTTTTCCCTTGTCATTTCCCATCTTATGCCTTAATCTTCTGAGTCAAGAAGGTCTCTGATGTTGATGAATTGCTCTAATCCTGTGTCCAGCTCTACCACTAGCTGCTGTGTACTGAGTTCTAGTAAAGATGACCTTGTTCAAATCAATGTATCTAGGACATTTTTTTCAGAGACCAAACAAAGCAGTTGTAAAAGCTTTCCTTAGCACCCAGCTCTTCCTGCACAGCTACCACATTTTTTATTCTTATTTGAAAGTTGAAGTTTGCAAAAGTATAAATGTTCCATTGGGTACACAATTCAAGTGTTTTTAGGACTGGGCGACTGTCTCCATTTCCTAGCCCACTTCCCTGTGCAGAAGTCTGTTGCTGTCCACCCCTGGAGCCCCTTCCAGACAGCAGTGCCGGTTTAAAAGCATTTCTAGGCAGAGGCTATTAAGGGGCAGTGATTCAGAAGGAAATTGAGCTTTCTAGTTTATTTTCTGAAAGTGCAAGAGACAAGACCCCCTCTTGACTGGGTCCAGCGAATAGTCCTGAGTACTGCAGTAACCCCTCCTACCAGTTCCCAACTGGAAACTGGAAAACCAGCTGCTGACACAGTCACAGAAAGCACCCTACTTACCTTGAGGTTGATTTCACGCTGTGTATTTGTAACACACGGTGCAGGGCCTCTACGGAGTATCTTTTCCATTTGACCAAAACCCATCTCTTCCTGTTTCTACCTAAGTCAGTTAACGTCTAGATTATATCAAAATGAACAGAGGAAAATGTGTTAAATAGACTCCAGCTGTCTAGCCCCTCTAACGGGAGATGAGGTGAGCACGCCCGAGTCTCCACAGACACAGCGACTGGTCCATGCAAACCTCTTCC